TACTCCACAGGAGTACCAGTCCCTGAGCTTTCCACTTCAAATGTTCAACATGTAGCACCTCATGCAATTCCTTCAGAAAGTCTATGAGGCAAATATTTTTATTGTGCCTATGTTTCACATGAGGAAAGTGAAGCTTAGTTATGTAATTTGCCCAGAGTTATACAACCAGGACATGAGAAAAGCCAAACAACATTACCAGACACTTGGCCCATCCTGAATCCACCCCATAATCTACAGAGCGTTGTGATCTGACCTCATTTTGATATGATAACTAGTTTTCTGAATAATGGTACACTATAATGTGTTATTAAATCATTATTCTAAACCACTTAAGAGCCTATATTGAAACAATATATTGGCCAGTCTAGGAACAGCATCAGCATGTGTTTGGAAGAGGGACTTATAGTGGTCCTGAGAACGTGTTTGCATAGTAAGCCCACTGTGCTTGCTTGGGTTGTATTGTACAGATCAATACCACAGAAGCCTTTTGTAAAGGTGCTTTTGTTCACACTCCATGTAAAATTGAGTAGCTGTAAATTTCCCATGTCAAAAGATAGAATTTTTTCTTGTAACTAATAATAATTAGGGATAGAAATGGCTATCCCCACTTATAATGTACAGTATCCATTTTTATATGTAAATGATACTTTTAGTATATAGTCTTGGGCATGCTTACTTGGGTTTGCTTAAAATAAGGCATGCCAATATTTTCTTGCCTTTTTTTCTTTGAAGAATGTCTGTTCCATAGGTTTTTGGCACCATGCCCTATAACATAGTTATTTCATCTGAATTATCTATTATTATAAGAATAAAGTGCATTTAATAGCTTTCTTTCCTTATGTTGTTGTTGTTGTTATGTGCCGTCGAGTCAGCCCTGACTCATAGCGACCCCTCCTTGGGTTTCCCAGGCAGTATCACTACGGAAGTAGGATTGCCCAACCTTCCTTCCGAGACCTAAAAATCTGAGTATGCTAATCTGACCTTTGATGACAACTATGTTGCTTGAAAGTGTAGAAAAGATATCACAAACTGATTCATAGCAGATGTCAAGCAAAATCATTCTCACAGAAGTTTCCAGATGGCCACTGTTCCTCCCTTCCTTCCCTCTGGACCTCATGTCTTCTACTTTTCGTGTGCATGATCCAAACGGGCTCCTCTTTTCCTCATTGTTGGTTGAAACTCCAAGTTTCATTCTTAACTTTGATACCCAGGAACTGTGAATCCTTGAAAAACACCATATATTGTCTTTGAAAAATAAGGGTAATAACCATACATCAAAGGGCTAGATAAGGAAGCTTATGGAAGGAAGGTTGGGCAATCTACTTTCGTAGTGATACCGCCTCAGAATCCCAAGGAGGGGTTGCTATGAGTTGGGGCCAACTTGACGGCACATAACAACAACAACAACATAGAAGTTCCTTTGGAAAAAGGAAATAAATATGATACAAAAATTGCAACACCAGTGTACTTAATCTTAGTGAACTACTGCTAGCCGTACAATCTTCAGTTAAGTAGAGGGTTTAAATCATGAAGATTATCTGATTAAAAAAAAACAGCTCATTGGTATCAGTCATCTTAGTTTGGTAGACTATGGTAGCATTCCATGTAGTGTATGGGAGCATTAGGTGATGTCTTACCCTTGCCTACTGTAGGTTACTATTGTGTACCACCCGATCCCTTCCCTTTGAGATGACACAATTCAGCCTTCTGTTAACTTGATTCTGTAGTTCTTACCTACTACCACCCAACCACTGCCACTGAGTCAATTCCAATTCATAGTGACCCTATGGGACACTGTAGAACTGCCCCCACAGGGTTTCCAAGGCTGTAAATCTTTATGGAGGCAGGCTGCCTCATCATTCTCCAATGGAGCAGCTGGTGGGTTTGAAGTACCAACATTTTGGTCAGCAGCCGAATTCTTTAACCACTGCATTACCAGACATTTCTGTAGTCCTAAAGGAATCCCCAAATCCCAGGTTCTATCCAGATTCATATTGGGTCTATTTTTTAATTACTACCAGTACTTCTTAAAATAATGCTAACTGCTGTAACAGATGAGTCTTGACATATAAATCCCATTGCTGTTGAGTCGATTCTGACTTGTAGTGACCCTATAGTACAGAGAAGAACTGCCCCATGGAGTTTTGAAGGCCATGATTGTTACAGAAGCTGACTGCCGTATCTGTCTCTCACAGAGTGACTGACAGGCTCAAACTGCTAACTTTTTTGGTCAGCACTGTACCACCAGGCACCTTAAGTTCTAATATATATAGATATATATGGGGCTCAAATCTATAGATTATTTCTGACTCTAAAGTATAAAATAAGGTGGTCCTGATGGACAGATAATTCTTCTCCAGCTCTTCTCCAGAATTCTTGCAAATGTTGGCTCCTCCATTGTTGATATATGGCTCCCAAATTTGCCATCAGTGCTGGCCTCAAACCCACAAGTGGAGAAAGAGAGCACAGAGGATTACACTTGTGAGGTTTTTCTAAGCCAGGCCCGAAATCTCCACACATCACTTTCATTCCCAGTCATTGGTTAGAATGTCACATGACCTCATATTAATGCCAGAGAGATTGGGAAATATAGTCTAGCACATGAAGAAGAAGTAGGTTTGAAGACCAACCAAAAAATCTCTGCTATTCCACCATATAAATGGTGCCCATATGCCCAGGAATCACCTTTCCCTCTCTTAAGAATTTTGCTCTTATTTTTCTTCTTGAAACCCTAATTGCAGAAAAGTAGATTGCACTAAAGCATCTCCAAAGCAAAAAAGGAAATGAAGGAAGGGCCGAAAGAAAGAAGGAAGGGAGGGAGGGAGGCAGTCATGCATTATTACAATGGACATGTAATTGCACTGAGATACAAGTGATATTATCTGGAAATAGAAATCTTAAGAAAGGGAATATACTCCTGACCATATATAAGTTTCACAAATGGTATTTCTACATACATATTTATATGTGCTATAAAACAAAACACACACACACACACACACACACACACAAACCTCAATGTCATCGAGTCAACTCTGACTCATAGCAACCCGCTTTGGGTTTCCGGAGCAGTAAATCTTTACTGAAGTAGATTGCCCAGTCCTCCTTCCATGGAGTGGTTGGAGGGTTTGACCGTGAACCTTCTGGTTATCAGTCAAATGCCTTAGGCACTACGCCACCAGAGCTCCTTACGTGCTATAAGAATGTCCATATATATAATAGAGCTAACAGAGCAGTTAAAATAATTTCTTAGTCACATCCAAACACCCTGCTGGAGTGAGTCACTGGGCCAATGGACTCAGGACCATGGTGGCAGGGGACATCAAGCTCAATAGGCATAAAATACTACACAAAAATGTTTTTCTACATCCTACTTTGCTGAGTATTGACTAGGGTCTTAAAAGCTTGCAAGCAGCCATCCAATATGGAATAATTGGTGTCCCTTCATCTGGAGCAAAGAAGAATAATAAAAAACCAAAGACACTTGGAAGCAATTAGTCTAAGAGACTAGTGGACCATGCAGACCTCAGCCTACATGACTCTGAGACCAGAAGAACTACATGGGGACTGGCTACCACTGTTAACCACTCAGAAAGGGATCAAAACAGGAGTTCCTGGATAGAGTGGGAGGAAAATGTGGAACAAAACTCAAAATCATAAAAAAAAAAAAAAAAAAGTCTCACTGGTCTAATAGAAACTAGTGAAACCCCCAAGACTATGGCCCCTAGCCACCTTTTGGGTTTAAAACTAAACTCACTCCCATGGCTTCCAGCCACACATAGACAGGCATATAAGGTAAACATTTACACCAGGTAGGTACACTCCTTAGAATGATCAATCATGGAAGATGAGAAGGGCAGTATTTGCACAGAGATAGCTCAGAGTGCAAAAATGCATAGGAAAGAAGGACAGGGAAAAAGTATCCACAAGGAGGAAGTGGGAAGAGAGCTGTTACATTATGACGTTGGCAATCAATGTCATGAAACAAAATATGTATGAACTGTTGAATGCTCTGCAATCTTTCACCCAAATCACAATTCAAAAAAAAAAAAAGGAAAGAAAGAAATAGTTGAATAGTTTAGAAGGAATCCTTCTTCACCAAGTTCGATCACTCATATGTTAAGATTTATTAAGATATAAATTAAGATTTATATATCATATAAATATCTAGACTCATGTGTGTGTTTGAAGAATAGTATTTAATGTTTCTCAAATATCATCATCCATATCCATATATTTTGTCTTCTATTAATATGTACTCTAAAACTTGCTATGAACAAAAAAACAAGCAGTTTGTTTGCAGCCACTGGGGAATTTTTTAATTGGTAAAGGAACTGAACCCAAGTAAAGTGGGCTGAAGAACAAAGAAGTAAGTAGCATGTGTTGCTGTTTCTTCTCACGCAGAAGGGAATCTTCTTCCTTCACTAATTGCACTTAAAGTAACCACAGGAGCTCGAGCTCCCATACATACCAACACTTAGCATCTGCGTTTTCCTTTCTCTACAATGAAACAAAATGCATAAATGCATTTGTTGGCAATACTGACAAAGCCCGATTTGTGGAATAATTGAAACCTTGATTTCTGTCATTAGCTGGATGTTTACAAAATGCATCTTCCTGTCTACATTCCAGATGTTTCTTCTTATTTAATAGGTCTTTGTTTGTCATAAGTTGTGAATTCTAAGTTGTGAAGTGTCGATGGAAAAGACTTTAGCTTGCAAGTTTCACTGAGGATGGCACGAACTTGAACTCCCCAGGATCTTTGCAATATTTTTTGTAGGCCCTTCCAATCAGTTATTCCCCATAGTAAGCCTCAGAGATCTTGGATTACATCCCAGGACAAAATAAAGTGAGTTAGCAACCTTTGTGTCTACCTCACTACTCTTGTAAATGAAATGAAAGTTTTCACTAAATGTATTTATTTTGAAATAATCTTATCCTGCACATTTTATTTCAGTATTCATTTTGAAATAATCTTTTCCATAACTTTTATTTCCCAGGGAACGAGCATTGAATACATCCCAGCCTGGGTCCCTTCAGCTTACTGTGGGAAATCTGAAGCCAGAAGCCATGTACACCTTCCGAGTTGTGGCCTATAATGAATGGGGGCCAGGAGAAAGTTCTCAACCCATCAAGGTGGCTACTCAGCCTGAGTGTAAGTATGAAAGAGGAAGGGCAGTATTTAGAAAGTAGTGGTTTTTGTCTGTAATATCCTTGATTCCTCTCAGAGAACTTTATTGAAGTGACAAAATGGACAATTCTAAAGCAACATATTTAACTCAAAAATCTTTGAATGAAAAACAACTTATTGAACAAAATGGGCTCCTCACATCAGCCTTGTCTCCATGAGGTCAAGATAACTAATAAAGAACTAATCCATCCATGCAGTCTACATATTCACTTCCTAAAAAATTACTTACTCTGCCTGACAAACTGCTTCATTGTTATCGGGTTTCAGCCTCCTCCATTGATTTTTCAGAGTTTATTTATTAAGAGTGTAACATCTGTCCTAGAGTGAAGATTCATACTCTGTAAAAGTAAAATTAAAAGATTTATTGAAAGTCCAGAGATGGGTGGGGCTGGGAAAAGGTCTACATTCACCGAGTGAAGATGGCTGCTCTGCCAGACAAGAAAGAGGGCAACATATTTAGACAATTAAAGCGAGAACTAAAGCTGCAAAATCATGATTGGCTGAAAGATAATCAGAGGAGTTGAAAGCAGGATATCATAGAGTGGTGACTTAGTGGAGACCGGTGGATAATATAAAGGTGGGATTACATGATTGATAAAAGGTACATAATTATAAGCACATGAGCTCTCCAGTTAATTAGAGGATGGTCACAGGACAGCTTTTTCTGGAAACCTGTTTTTAAAATTGCTTCCTCAATCATGCTTATTCCTGGGGGTCCATTGTACAGAAGGTTTATGGATAATGCTGTGCATCAGGACCCGTCAGGCATTGGCTGTTGCATTCTGCATATGTTAAGCATAGAGGAAAGACCCCCTGGGAATATCACATGATATACTGCATCTGTCAGAACACAGATGAAAGACTCTGTGAATAACCTATCACAGTCTGAATCTACCAAACTAAAAAGAAGAAAAATGTTTCCTTCACAGTATAGGTTTTATGTCAGTACAGAGGTTAGAGAAGCTACTATCAACAGAGGTGGTTTTAAAATTCAACATAGATTCCAGTCTCATGTGAAGACTTAAGACAGACAGAAGGCTTTTCTTTCAGGCTGCTCTATTTACACATACCAACTGATTTTAGACTCTCAAAAATTTTCCCTCCTTTTGATCAAGGATTCCTGTGAAATTCTTTGATCAAACACAAGATGATTCTTTCACATGGACTCTTTCATTCCAAATTCCTTTTGGATGGCCACTTGCTTAGCATTAAGTATTTAAGATGCTGGATACCTTTCTCTGAATGGCTGGGCACTATCCACTGTGTTCATCATGCTTAGTTTTAGTACCAAGTCTTTCAGTGATCCTTTTGGAAATGGTTTGGAGTAATGCCACATTAGGGGAACTACTTGGTTGTTATGTAATTAAGAAGTCTTTAAAGGAAAGGCTTAAGTCCAATAGGTTTCTTTAAGGTACATGAGTCATTTAATTGGTAATATGTTGGTTCTCTGGGTCAAGGCATTGGCAGTAATATTTATACAACCTTTAATTATTCCTATTATAAAGACAATAAACATGACTATCCTAACTTCAACTAACAAAGTTAATCTAATCAAAAATCCTATACTTTTTGGTAACTGGAAGAAAGGAGAAATATGAAGCCAGGTAGCTGTTTGGCAGGTCTGTTGTATGTCCTTTTCCACTTCATTTGAGGTATTTACCCAAATACAACAGGAGGTATTTGTGATAGCACACATTCTATCTTTTTGTGCTAACTGAAAATCCAGTACAATTTTATTGTCCAGGATTACTTCTGCAAGGGAATTTAAGGATTTGTGTTGGGCTCCTCGTGAGTTGGCAATATCATCAGCTATTCTTTCCATAGTGATACATTCTGGATAGCATGCTCTCAATCAGTGGTAAGATAGCAAACACAATATGAAGCAGTATATAAAGTCCAAGGATTTTATCTCTACTCATGTGATCTTGTTCTGTAATCATGGGCTGAGCTGTCTACTTCTCATGTAGTCATCTTCTTCTCCCATTAGGCTGGGTGAACTTAAGTTTAAACTTGTCCATGGGCTGGACAGTTCACCCAGGAGTTGCAACCTTCTTTAACTGGGAGAGATGAATCATCGATAATTTGGCAGCACAGGGATTGGTTAAAAGAAGTAAGGCCCTTTCAACAAGGCTTGAGAGAATATTTTAGTTGATATGTTTTCCAGGACACATAGTCTCTAGGTTGGATTGGTGGGGCAGAGGCCTCAGCACTTTCACTTTCATCAAAAGCCTTCTTGACTTAGGAGTTATGAATCTTAACACAATGAATTAAAGCTTGACAATATTTCAAAAGACTAGTTCAGGTTAAAGTAGAATCTACTATAGCTAGCATATGAGGATTAAGAGTCCTCCAGTGACAATTTCATGAAGTGTTAACTTATGTGGTCTAAAAGAAGTGGACCTTAAATTTAACAGTACAAGAGGAAGTACCCAGATCCAAAAGTGTAAAAAGGCAGAAATTTTGGCTAATTGATTATTTAAGATTCCACTAGTCCTTTTCACAAGGCCAGAACACTGTGGGTGATAGAGACAATGGAGTCTCTGATCAACAGGAATGATTGTGCACACTTCCTTTATGACTTGGCCAGTAAAATGAGCACCACTGTCATTACACAGGATTTTTGGAGCTTTCCATGTAGGAACAATATTTTCCAAAAATGTCTTTGCCACAAAAGTGTCAGTGGCTTTATGTCTAGGAAAGTATTCAACCCAATGAAAAAAACTATACACAATTATTAAGACATCCTTATAACCATTGGAAAGAGGAAATTGTACAAGGCCAATTTGACATTTGAGCATAGGCCCATTAAAAAAAAAAAAGAAAACCTCATTGTCATCAAGTCATTTCTGACTCATAGCAAACCCTCCTTGAATTTCCAAGGGGGTATCTCTATGGAAGTAGATTGCTCAACCTTCCTTCTGAGGAGTGGCTGGTGAGTTTGAACCACCAGCCTTCTGGTTAACAGTCGAATGCCATAGGCACTACACCACCAGAGCTCTTATAGGACCATTAGGGAGAAGAAATATCCCAGGTGAAGTTAGACAAGGACAACATAAGTTATATCAGGAACAGACTAAATAGGATTTAACTACATAGTCAGCGCACTCCACAAATGTGTTCATTATATTTTTTCATTGGGTCAGTCAGCTTGTCTCTGCTCTGGTGATCTAAAGAGTGCAGGGCTAGAGCCAGAAACACTTGTAAAAATTTTGGTATATCAAGCTTGTCATTGTGTCCTTAAAACATGTAATTTTTCTATTTATTTGGCCACCCTCCTTTCTCCAAGTCTCTTGTTCCTTTGGGAGCTTGAATTTGAGGAGCTACTAAATTATGCAAAAGCTAGCACTTTTTATTTGGGTCTCACTCAAATTCTTAGTCCCATTATAGCCTAGCCTCTAGGGTTAAAACGCTTACAAATTTCATAACCAGTGAGAGAGCCTTTAATGATATTGCTGATGTCATCGAAATTAATGGAGACAAAGAAGGTAGACATGTGAGACAGGAGGCATGGCATAGCATGGCATAGCAGGCCTTCTCGGTAAAATGACCCCGCAAGTACTTTCACATATGGGTGACTAAGTCTTATAAATTTAAGTGGACATATTAATAAACATTATTAGTAATAAAATTTTGTAACAACAGTGACAACACTAGCTTGCCCTGTGGTCTAAACCACAAATTAGTAATTGTGTCTTGCTTGCAAGCTAAGTCATTGTAAACTTCAATTTCAGATTCAGGGGCCAGGTATCGATGGGGGTATAAAAATCTTAGAGCTGCTTGGAGGTCTAGTCTGTTACTTATAATATTATCATATGTAGGAGCCTTATCATTCACTTCTTTTTCACCCAAAGGAACTTTGGTGAAAAGGGTGATGAACACTTGAGACACAGTCCTTTTTGTAACTGAACCAGCCAATTTCCTTTAATTTTTTTCAGTATAAGGAAAATATTTAGGTTGGTGAGCCTAGATTTTTATCACAGCAATCTCAGAGTGGAGCAAATTGGCTTCTAGGAGGTCCAGCACTAGAGGATCATTTTTAAGTGTGTTCTAGATAATGTGAGTAACCCTCTCTTTTTCCATAGTACCCCAAAATCATGGGCAACCAAGAAGATATTTCAAGTCAATATAAGCCAGTTTTCAATGTTTTGTGATTGTAAGCAAAGTTTTGTGTTGTGTTGAAGTAACTTCAGGGAGAAGGCAAATTTCCAGGACTTCTATAGAAGTAGTAACAGCATATCCTTCCTGGTAATGTGGGATGATGGGATCATGTTTAAGATAAGAATTACAACAGAACTAATTTGAGGTTGGAAAGATGGGTTTCTTATAAAGCCTCTCTGAGTGACAGAAGCTGTTCAGTGAGATCTAAACAACTATGAGTTTGGAAGTTGTCATCATTTAGAGGAGGTAACAATGTAACTGGGTGTAAAGAAGTTATTGTGCATAACTTGATATTAAAGGCTTTTCAGAGAAGAAGTTCATAAGAAATCTACCTACTAGCTGAAAGATGTTTAGTTAAGCTTGAATTTAAAAAGCATGGAAGACATAGACATCGAGGAAATCCCCCAAAACTATATCTGTAGTGTTCTTGACTAGTTTTGTAGTCGCAGCAAATGCCCTAAGACACAAAGGGTAGCCCTGGGCAACTGTACCTAAGTGGATACTATAATAACCTATAGAAATAAAATAAGAAATATAATAACACATAGGAATATGGATAATGAAGACAGGAGAAGAATTCATGCCTTCAAATTGTAGTGTTGGCAAAGAGTGCTGAAAATGCCATGGACTGCCACACAAAAATAAATAAATAAATAAATTTGTCTTAGAAGAAGTACAGCTGGAAATCTCCTTAGAAGCAAAAATGGCCAGACTTCTTCTCACATACTTTGGTCATGTGTCAGGAGGGACCTGTCCCTGAAGAAGGATATTATGCTTCGTAAAGTAGAGGGTCAACTAAGAAGGGA